TGGGCCAGTGAAGCGACGTCCTCCACAACTAGACTGAAGAACAAAAAGGACAGCAACTTGTCTGTTCCCCTTCCCCCAATTCCCCAGCACTGTTCCCTTCCCCCAATTCCCCAATAAAAATCTTAAAAAAAAAAGAGTATGCCCAAGACAGAAGCCATCATCGTCTTGTAACCTCATCTTGGAAGTTACATCCTATTGCTCCTGCTGTATTCTACTCATTATAAATGAGCCGATAAGTCCAGCCCATAGTCAAAGCAAAAAGATTGCAAAAGAGTGTCAACAGCAGGAGGGCAGGGACAAAGGGGCCATTTTAGGGCTACCAATCTCAGGGTCTCTGGAGGTAATTTTGGCAGGAGAAACTCAAGTAAAGGTGAAGAGTGAATATCTTTTTCAAAAAGAGCTACATTTGGAGCTCTTCCCATTTATTAGTTGGAAAAGGAAGCCACTTAGAGATGAAGTTTTATTTTTACTTTTTAATGTGGATTTTTGAAAGATACAAGACACGAGATGGTATCTAAGTGATTATGGATCATTACTGGGGGTGGGGGAGTAGAAGGGGGTAATCCCACAGGGAACGTTCCCTAAGGACATGCCAGGGGGGCAGATTTCCTTTTGCTGGAGTGAGGGGAGGAAAGGGTAAGCTAGATTTTTCATTGGAAGTTAAATAGTTACAACTGAACTGTAAGAGTAACTAATTAAGGCTGCTTCTCTGGTTAAGCATGCCAAAGTCCAGAAATTCTTATAAAAATAAGAAAATGAACCAATAAAAGTGATGGGAGTTATGAGCCAGAAAAGACATTGCAGCATGTAAAGTGAAAAGCACTACTATTCAGACCAGGCATTCCAGACACTTGAAATTTCTCAGGTTCTGGAGAAAGAAAGCCACCTTTAAGTGGAGAACAAATTCCCATTAGAATGAAGATAAATTAATGGTCTAATAAGGAAGCTAATTAAGGAAAGGAAAGCCCTGCTCTTGTTCAAGAGGCCAGAGAATGGCTGGACTTTGTTTTTCTTTGAATGAAGAAAGTTCTCAAGGATAGGAGGAAAACCACAGCCTCTGAAGGGCAAAATAGGCATTCCTGCGTGGAGCAGGGATTATTGGAGAGCAGCCCCGGACACAAGGGTCAAGAAGGTGAAGCAACAAAAGGCGTAGGTCAATCAGAAGAGAAAATGGAAAAGAAAACTGTATGGGAAATGTAAATGTGAAAAGGGGGCATCTGAAAATGCTTCACAGGGAGCAGACACACACATACAAAAATTGGAACATTAAAAAAACAGAGGGAATTCAGAAAAGAAGCGTAATATGTTAGAGAATAGGACATGATCACTTACAATGGTTAAAATAGATCACATCCTTTTTTTTTTTTTTGCCAGTTTTCCTTTCTTCTAATTCCATGTGAGTCCTGTCAAGACAGTGTGGGCCTTGTTGTGATCCAGAAAAGGAATGTGGTGAATTTAAAAAAACAAAAACAAACTAGTTCATGTACAACTGTACAACTACCAAAGGAAAACCAGTACAAAGAGTTCAATAGTTTTGTTGTCTTAAGACTATAGATAAAGAAAACAAAGGGGCAGAAGTTTTAAATTGTGCCAATTCCTGTAGCCATCTAATGAAGATGAAAGATATTCAAAAATAGAAAAGAATGCTTTTGTTAAACATGGAGAATTGAATACATATGTTTAGCTTTGCTTCATCCCAAAACATCACTAAAATGACACAGTAAATTGATAAAGTGAATAAATTCATAAGGAAAAGAAAACGAGAGGAGTTGACACTAGATGAAAAAGATGTCAACTAAATTTTAAAAAATGGGAAGCAGGGTATGGGTGAGAGGTAATTAGCAGACTACAGGACATTGAAACCTAATGCCAGGGAGCGGGGTGGAATCCTAAAAGGAGAAAAGCTAATTATGTGCCACGACACTGGAAAAGCTCGGGAGTTGGAGACCCAGATGCCTCTGAAACAGGGAGAGAAGAGTGGATCGGAAACGCGACTGTCTGAATGATTATAGAAGGAGGAGACAGATGCTCAGATGCCCTCCCTAAACCCCGAGCTGCCCCGACCCACCATACCGGTAGGCTACCAAAGGTTTACACTCTAGAAAACTTGAATGTGAGAGGCTTTGGACCAGAGAATACACAACAGCAGAGTATGGAATAAGGCTAGAGTGAAAGTATATA